TAACCCAGTGGTGTATTAGTAGCACATTGTGCCAGCTGTCAACACAATAAATGAGCAGGGATGCTGTTTAGAAAGAGCTGAGCCCTCTAAGCAAAATGTGCATTCTTTTTTCCTATAATAAACTCTGCAGATAAGCAAAGCTACTGCTCATAAATCAGTTTTCCAAGTGCATAAAACTATTAAAATACACACAGCGTTAAGAAGCCAACTATGAACAAAGACTGCCCAGATCAGTGCTTGGTGCTGCAGGAAAGCCTAAGACACTCAGAGCTTGAAACACTGCAGCCATGGGTCAGCTCTTGGTATAACCGTGCTTTCAGGGGACAGCAGTAAGACATGCTGGCTTTTGGGCTGTCCTTACATTAACTCTGCTGTTTTCAGAAATGGAGTGGAAAAACAGGGGAGAATATGATCATCCACTTGAATCTAACCTCGGTGTTCAGATAGTGGTCTCCTGAGATGTTCTAAATAATGTCCAGAAACTTGTATTTATGCTGTATAATAAAGCTGACACTCTCAAGCCTTTCTGGAGCACCAACCAAGCCACTAGCCCAGCCATGTCCTGGCACAGTTAAATCCCAGCCCACTGGGGTCAACAGAAACTTTTACTACAGCTTTCAGTAGTATCCATTTGGTCCATGAAGTCATTGATTATAAACCCAGAAATGATCTGCGATTGAAATAGCCACTTGCTATGAAACATTTCCTTACCTGGTGCCTTTACAATACACACTGTAGCACAGGGACATCTTCTGGGGACTCCCTCCCCTTGTAAAGGCTAAGGAAGGAGCCAAGGACAGCACCCTTACTGCAGTGTTTTACATCAGCACTTGGGTCAGGAGCGCCAAACTGATCAATACTTCAGTTTCCAAAACAGAAGTGAAAGAACAAAAGCAGCCAAATCTGTAATCAAGTGGCCTGTTTTAATCCCCAGGGCATTTAACTGGTGACTCAGAGCCTGTAAGAAGAAAAGGGTCCTGATGTGATCTGTTCTACAGCTCTAAACCCTTGAGATACAACAGTCGGTATGCTCTTACATGAACGTGAAGCTACTGAGACAGCTAGAACTGTTAGCCAAGCTGCAGTGAAGTCAGTAATGTAGAATGCCTGTTAAAGTAACACAGAAAACAGGAGATCTCCCCACTGAGGATATAGTGTTTGCAATATTAGTGTGCAGAGCTGGATTTGGCTCAGGAGCTGTTGCTGTCACACTGGCTTTAGGACAATTATTCTGCTTCCAAGCACAGCAAGCTGTAAAGTTGGAAGTTTCTCCCTAGCAGATGTGATGTCTAGCATATTTTAAGCACCTTCACATAAATTACTCTCATGCAAAACAGGCTCCAGTGTGGCAAAAATAACTCTTGGGCAGTAAACTGAGTTTCTGTGAGCTGATGGAATCTGAGTTCACCTACAGAGACCCACATGAGGTGGGTTTTTCCCCCTTCAGAGTGGTTGAAGCAGCAGGCTGATAGCCTAAAAGCAGCAATAAGAACTAAGAAAATCTGTATATGCAGACACAGACGTTTCACACCAGGAAGACGCAGTCCCTGTGTGTTCTCTCTTTGCAGATGTTTGATACTGAAAACAAAGCTGAAATACAGCCACCAAGCAAGTATCCGTGATGGAGATGAGGGGAAAGCATGGGCTCTAGAAACAGGCAGAGGTTGCAGCCTTTCAAGGCAGAGCCTGATTTTCCATTTGCAGTCACTGACAGCACTACTCTTTTCCTACCTCACAAGGCCTCACCTGGCTGTAGGTGCACCAACAGCAGCTCACAGGGGAGAAAAATCCTTCCTTCAGCTCTTCTCTCCCTGCTATAAAAGGCTCGGAAAAATGAGTATGTTAGCAAGCTTAATGAGTTACCACATATCAGCTGAGCCTGGGTGACCGCACTGAGGACACAGTCAACAGCAAACTCAAGATAAGACATATTAGCTCAAGCCTCAGCAATAGAGATTTAAACTAATCCATTTAACCTTGAATTTGCAGCAGGTAAGGAGCATACTTGTAAATAATTGTGTGCCTCATCCTATGCATGTTAAACTGGGGCAGTATGTCTGCTTAGCCTAAACCTCTCACTTGGAATTCAGAAAGAGTGCTGTTGGTTGAGAGACTGCTCTGAGTCCAAATTCTGCCTCACAGTTCAAGAAGGTCAAAACAAGGATTAAAAAGTCAGGATGGCCCACAAGGACAGTACAGCCTCCAGCAATACAGATAGAGTATCACAAGAACTTTTCTCAGCAGCACATTGTTCAGTGACACGTGTAATTAGATGATGAACTTAAATTGTAAGTATACTCCAGTGAAATGACATCTATAGTAGTGCCTTTGTTCTGACACAATAAGGCTTTCGAAATAGAGCATAAACCGAAAGGAATTCAGATCATCAGCTTCACCAAAGACACTCCCATATTTTGTAGCTGATGGCCTCCAGAGCTGCTGTATAAGTAGGCAGAAATCACCACCTGTTTATGCATAAATAAGATTTAAAAAAACAAGCAGATGGTGATTTAATCCCCAACTCCATCCCTAGTTGACCTCACATTACACAAAATGAGGAACATGGCCTGCTTTAAACCTTTGCTTATATGGGAAAAGGCTTCAGGATTGGGTGTCTACAAGGACCAAGCACTGCTCTTCCCCAAAAACTGACAGTAGTTGAACGACATCACTCTGTGAAGGGAAACAGTCAGCTTTAAGTACTGCCTACAACATAGCTTCACTAAGGGCAAGTCCTGCCTGATCAACCTAGGAGCTTTCTGTGATGGAACAACTGTGCCATTGGTCAATGGAAGAGCCATTGACATCATCTAGCTGGATTTCATTAAGGCCTTTGACAACAGTCCCCCACTACATCCTCCTCTCCAAATTGGAAAGGTATGGATGTGATGGATGAACTGTTCAATGGATGAGGAACCGGCTGTGAGACTGTAGCCAGAGATCAGTGGTCAATGGCTCAATGTCCAGACGGACACAGTGACGTCCTTCAGGAGTCAGTACTGCCACCAGCAATGTTTAGTATCTTCATCGATATCAACAGCGGGACTGAGTGCACCCTTAGCAAGTCTGTGGACAACACCAAGCTGTGTGGTCTGGTTTACATGCCTGGGATGCCATTCACAGAGGCCTAGACAGGCTCGAGTAGTGGGTCCAGGTGCAACTCATGTGGTTCAATAGATGCAATTGCAAGCTCTTGCACCTGGGTTGTGGCAACCCCCACTCTCAGTACAAGATGGAAAGTGTAAGGATACAGCACAGCCCTGCCAAAGTGGAATTCAGGTACTGGTGAATGGCAGACTGGACACAAGCCAGTAATGTGCCCTCACAGCCCACAAAACCAACCGTACCCTGAGCTGCATCCAAGGAAGTGTGGCCTGCAGGTCAAGGGGAGGTGATCCTGCTCCTCTACTCTGTGCTGGTGAGACTTCACTTGCAGTAACATGTCCACATGTGGAGTCCTCAGCACAGAAGAGATGTGGATACAGTGGAGCACATCCAGAGGAGGACCACAAAAAGAATCCAAGGGATGGAACACCTCCCCTGCAAGGAAAGGTTGACAGAGTGGGGCTACTTGGTCTGGAGAAGGCTTGGAAGAGACCTGACAGCAGCCTTTCAGTATATAAAGGGACTTTGTAAAAGAAGGGAACAGGCTCTAGCAGGGTTTGTTGCAATAAGACAAGGCTAAATGATTTCAATCTAAAGGAGCAGAGATTTAAACCGGGAGATTTAAATTGGCTATCAGTAAAAAAGCTTTGCAGTAACAGTGGTAAAGCACTGGAACAGATTGCCCAGTCCCTGGAGACATTCAAGGTCAGGCTGAGAAGGGCTTTGAGCACCTGATTTAGCTTGTAGGTATCCCTGTTCCTTGCAGGGGAGTTGGACTACATGACCTTCAAAGCTCTCTTTCAACTCAAAATGATTTTGTGATTTGATGGTCACAGGTCAGGCATTCAGCTGTGTCAAGCAGCAACTGAATGAGCACGGGGAAAGTGGAACACTCATGCTCAGTACCTCAAGCCATCTGACTTGAGTGATGAAGAAGCAAACAGCTGCTCATTCCCCTTCACCCAGCCATCATTTGAGTTGGCCTCCTCTGAAACACGTGGCTTACCTAACACACTGAGTTTGGTTATTGTGCTTTTGGAGCAGTAATATCCGTGACCCACAGCCACATCTCTCACCTTACCAAACAGTTCAAAAGAAGAAGAGAGACAAAACTTAAGATGCTATTCAAGTAGCTTTAAAAACATGCCTTATGCTAGCAATATTTCTCAAGCATGAGCCAAGTTCTCTCCCAGGCATTCCCTTTTCTGAAAGGCAGCATCCCACCCACCCCACATAGCAGCAAGTCCTACAGCAGATAAGGGAATTCCCCTCAGTGGCTTTGTACAGCAAAGTATGTCTTCATATGTAGGACCAGCAAGAAGAGACAGATTCCCCTGTTTCACAGAGGGATCAAAAGGAAAATTTGCTCCTATGTGGAAAGTGTAGTAGGATTGAATTTCTACACGGCTCTTTGCCACAACAAACCTACCTTGCTGCTCAAAGGTTTTCTACTGTGGAAGAATCTCAGTAAGGTCCTAGAACACACAGAAGCACATCACTAGGACTTCCCCATGTTCCTGTAACACAAATTATTACAGTTCTTCCAGAACAGCAAGAAACCTCACTTTCTTAATCTTTTTAATTTTATCACCAGTATTCTGCATTTATACTCTTATTATAGCATCATCTGCTATTCCAAGTGTCCTGGTCTTTAGCAGAAAGCCAGCTCACACCATTTCTATTCCAAGTGTCAAGTTAGCAACTAAATCTGCCATAGGAAACAAAGGAATTTTTCTTGTTCAGGAAAATACTCCTTCTGGTTGAAAGAAGGAACAGCTCAAACAAGTATTTTAAGAGTGTTTCAGTCTTATTGGCATGGACGCCATTTCCATTTTCTTATCTGTGAAGAAAACCAGAAAGAAAAAAAATCCAAACACATTACACTTAACACAATCCAAGTTCTTGATTATTTGTTTGAAAATCCAAAGCAGAGGGGTGGATTTGATCGTGCTGCTTCCATTATCAAAGAACACAGACTATGCTCCCCCTAGGTTGCAGAAGACAGGTCCAAATCCACCTGCTAAGCCCCTAAGCAACTGGTCACTGTGCCATTGGTGCAGATGCATCCTTTTCCAGCCATGGCCACATTTTTAAAGATAACAGCTCCAAGGGGCACAATACTTGAACCATTTCTGTGACTGTTCACTAGCCTGCTACAATCAAAATAAGACCTGCAGCTTAAACAAGTCTAGCTCACTTTGCCTGAAAGGATTAGAGGCAATCACATGAGCAGCTTGGACAGCAGAGCTGAGTGTAATGCCTGCAGCAGCTGAAGGAGAGCTCACACATTATCTTCAGTGCTTAATGCATATGGAAAGAATCAGGTTCTTTATACAAAACAAAAGAATACAGCTTCACCTTCCACTCTTGCAGCAAGACAGCAATGGTCAGGCAATCCTTTTAAATGGATGGAGACTATTTTGGACACAAGTGTTCAGGTTTTTCTGACTCTGGACATTTGAGCATTTTCTCGATGCTGCAGTATCTCTTTAAACTCCTAGGCCTAAATTCCTAACCTCCTAATTAGTACTTAATAGAGAATGACATGTAACTTTAAAGACAGCTTTTAGACAGGGTTCAAACTAGGTGTTATTGTTCAAATCTGTACTAAGTCAATGTTATTTCAGATTACCTTTAATATAATTAAAAACTAACTTTATCTTCCTGACTGTAGTAAAGTTTTACAGAGTAAAAAATACTTACTCAAGCAATTTGATAGGAACAGTATGAAGTCCTGTATGAAGACAGTGTAATACATTTTGCCTAATAAAAAATACAGTCTTATCAGATATTTTCAAGCTCCATGTTTTCAGTAAGTGCATAATTTGTACTGATGTTTCACAGCTCACGTGTTCATATGAAAGTTTCAGAGATCTGGATTCCAGTTCAGGGTTTATTTGTATAAAAATATATTATAATGGAAAAAAGCATTAAAAGTTCTCAACTATATAAAATTACAAATATATTTTCATAAAAGCAACTTTAAATTAAAATTCAAGCTATATTTTAAGGTAAAATATAGCTGGAAAATTTAAGTTATCTGATTCCAGCTGCTGCAAAGTAACAACACTGATGTTTGCCAGTTAAATACTTGTAGGAGTTTACAAAGGTTGTGTTCACAAGGTGAATATCTTGGGTAGCAAAGTTATCAGACAAAGGCAGCAGTTCTCCTCCACTGATGTCACTTATCCTTTAGATGACATCCACAGGCAAGCAGTGCCAAAGATTCATTTCACATACCTGGAAATACAAAACAAGAGCAACTATGAAGTCTGTATTAGTAAGACTGCTAGCTGCCTGACAGGCACAACTATTGGCTTTTTTAAATGTTTTTTAAGAAGTAATATGAAAGGCAAAAGGTTAACATAAGAACTCAGGTCTGTTATTATTCTAATAGTTGTATTACGCTTCAAGAAGCTGCTACAAAAGTCTGTGTAACCTCAAAGCATGTAAATAGTGACTCCTCAGAAAAAAAAAAGTGAAATATCAGATGGAAATTAGACTTTCCTAGAACTTCAACGTATGAAAAAAATGGCACATCACTGTAAAACTAATGACCCTATAAATGAGAATCTGCTGAGGTAGCCAAAGGTTTCTTTGTTGGTAAGAACTAGCACAGCAAGTAGCAATTCCTAGCCTCACTTCAGCTGTGCTCTGCAAGGAGGCAGTGAAGTCAGTGCACTACCAGCCCCTTCACAGTTAGCTGCAAGACAGCTGTGCAAGACAACAGCTAAGTCAAATTTGAAGATTTATAGAGAACAAAAATCCCCAAACTTGCAAACTCAGAAGTTTCTCAGAAGACCAATCTGTCAATTAAGTTGGAGTGGTAAGGACAGTTGGCTCAAGCATGCATATAAGACAATAAATAAACAAATAATCAGGAAGCTAGAAATATCTTGATCCTTGTTTCACTTCTGAGATAGGGAAGTGGGAAGCTTGTAAGGACAGCTCTCTTGAGTTAAAACCAAGACAGATGGTTGTGGCTTCAAGAACTATGGGGAAAGGAAAATACCTCCACAAATACAAAAACACCCAGCTCACAGCTTTTGGACATGTGGCTCTGTAGATCTAGTCCTATGTTTTGTTGTTTTGGGTTCTACGCCATGGTCCATGGGGAAAAAAATCACCCAGTATCACACCTCAAACAGCACAGGAAGAAAAAGAATAGGCAGAATACGTGCTGGGGAACATGGTATTGGGTTGCCTTCTTTATTTTGTTTACCCACACTCCTCTCAAATCTTAATGAAGAACTCAGTAGACAACTGGAATATACAACTTCCACCAATACACTGGCTTTCATCACCCCATGACTGTAATCAGAGACAAAGCAATAAGCAGTCTCCTAAAAACTTACTTACTTGCTAGTGTCCTGTCAAGATCAGCTATGAATTCTTCCAGTTCTTTTGTGTCTCCAAGTTTTGCTGCAGATTAGGAAGGGATAGTCAGTATTAAGACGTGACAAAAGAAACCACTGGAACCACACAATCCTTCAAATCATTTTTAGTGGTATCAAATCTGATCTGGGTTGCTTTTGGAGAAGTTGATGGTTGCTGCAGTGTCCAAATGCATTCTTAGAGAAGAAGGTAAATAACTGAAAACTAAAGCTTTTGATCATTTTGACAAAGGCAAGCCAAGCCTGTTTAGCTTCCTTTAAAAGAACACACAGAAGATGTGGGGAAAAAAAGCTGTAGGTCAAGTTTACTTGGAATAGCAAGGTCAACCTTGCTAATGTGGAATTTTTATTACTGCATTCAGATATTGCATTCATGTCCTTACCCTACTCAATTAGCTCCTAGTCCTGCCCAAATCCAAACCTCATCTATTTGTGGTTTGCTAGATGTTAGATCGTCTGATCAAGATCCACACACGTTCAGTTTACATCCAAGCATTTACTCAAATTTCCACTGCTGAGAACATCACTGGTTCCATTCAACCTAGGTTTATTTCAAGTGGCTTCCTTATCTCACTTCCAAGGTCTATTGCAGGGTGGTCCCAACTATTTCTACCTTTGCATCAGGAAAAAGGTCTTGATCTCATGTGCAACTCCTGGCCAAGTATTAACTGAGTAGTACCAGTTTAACTGAAATACTTAACTCCCTACTTCTCATTAACTATGACACATTTCTGCCTAGCATCTTGGTAATTAGTAAAAGAACTTTTTTATTTGTTACTTGCAACCAGTCAGACATTGCAGCCCCACAGCTAAGCATTTCTGTGCACAGATAGGATACTAAGGCTACTTAGTTGCTTAAGTTAGACTTGTTAATTCTAAAGTGAGTATTCTGTAAGCAGTTTTGTAACAGATTTGACTAACCAAAGAACTTTCTGTAGCTGGGCAATTCAAAACCAAAAGCTACTGAGTAACCTGTGAAGAAGCATGGATGCCTCATGACATTGTGTTGACCATAAGCAGCAATAATTCTTGCACTTGTAGTGTGCTTATCAGTAATCCTTATTTTTGAATGAAAGCAAAACTGAGAGTTTATGCATAAATGTGTATCTTTGCCCAAAGGGAGAAGCCTATATAGTTGAGAATTCAGGAGAAACACTGAGGATTTAAGTTTACCTTTACAAGGAGTTACTGATGGAGATGGCAAGCTTGGAGTAGATGCAGTTGGAGAGTTAAGTTTTTCATCACTGAGGCTGAAACTACTCCTGTAGAGTGAATCTGCACCTGTTAAAACAAAAAAAAAAAAACAAGCAAAAAAATCATTTCAAGTTAAAAATAGCACTGTCTCAAATTTTGCAATAGGATTAAATGAAAAAACAGAATGTTTCTCACATGGGTTTCAAAGTCTGGAGAAATGAAGTTTACCAACTTGAAAGCCAGAGAGATGAGTAAATAACTTATTGTTTGGAGGCTATTGTTCCTACACCTACTGTTTAAAAGGAAGAAGTCCTGGGTCCTTTCCTTGTCTCCTGGAAAGGAAAGCATCCCCTGCACTTAGCATCATCTAGGGAGTATTACAGCAATCATCCTATCAACCTAAGTTAATCAACCTAAGTTAAATCTCACAAGGCCAGAATGATTCACAGTATTCTGGGAAATTTCAGTAACCAGAATTCTTCAGAAGTTATTTTAAAAGTGAATTAAGAGCTCTGGGAGAGAAACAGTTCCTCAGAAGCATTGTTTTTATATGAGGTATAATTATATCACTTGCTGTGGCAATAACATACAGAAAAAGGCAGTGCCTCGTTAAGGACAGAAATGCTGACCTGCCCAACTGTCTGCTGCATCACACAACTGCAAATGCTTACGTGAGGTGCTTCACCTGGCAGATCTTTTCTCTTGTACATATGTATATTGGGCTATCACAGTATCATCACACCTCATCATACAGTTCCCTCTGCTATTAGCTCAGCTCCTGCTACAAGTGCACGTGCTACTCACAGCACTGTGCAAACAAAATGGCATCTGATATCTGAAATGATGGCTTGGCCAAGTCAGCTGCTGGTACTTCTGGTGCAGAAGTGGGATGATGCTTCATACTAACTTTTCATCACGATCTCTGCAGCTTCAGTCTTAAATGCCTGTTCTGTCTAAACCTGAGGGGATCAGAACTAGTCTACTTGAAACTTCTGGCAGATTTGGGGAATACAGAGCAGAATTGAGAGCTTCAGAAAGAAAAAGCATTGAAAAAAGACATAATTGTTTTTTGAAGCAGCTCCTAAAAAGATTAACTAATCCTCATAAGAAGTGAGAGAAGGAATCTGACTTTGCTCTGCATCATCATCTTCTCAGCAGCATTGTACAATGAAATGAACCCTAGCACATTAGTGGGTTTCAAGTCATAGTTAAAGATATGACAAATCTCTTCCTGAAATTGAGCAACTTCCAACTAAAACCACATTAGTTTTTAGCCAAGATGCAAACCCTATTGAACAAGGAACTCAGAATGGAAAATTTTAACTGGGATAAAAGCCCTGCCATTATGAAAAAGCCAAATAACACCTCACACAAACAGGGCAATAGCCAAGGATACAACCCAATGAAACACCAACAGAACAGACCAATGATGAAACATATGTCTGAGGTAACATTTGGGAAGAACAGGCTGTAAATTCTCAAGGGATTTATTTTAAAAGTTTGGTGAATTCATAAGAAGTAATCCAGAGAACAAAAGCTATGAAGTTGAGCACACTTTTACTGCAAGGCCCATGCTACTGGTATCCAGGCACCAGATGTAACGATGCTGGGAAGCTATTACAAACCTGTGCTTCTCATGCATTACATCCAGAGCTCCTGTTGCTTTTACCCATGGCCGAAATAAAGGCTTCTTTTTGAGAACCCTTGTGAAGGCAACTCAGATTTCAGAAGACTACTGTGCCATTTAAATTGACCTCAATCTATTTGTGCATTTTTATGTACATCCACACACACATGCCTGAATTCTTCATCATCCTGATTCCTGTTGTATTTTTCCCTGTAGTCCTTCTACGAGCACTTGGAAGTACTGACCACTGACCTCACAATGTATTAAAAGCAGGGAAAGGTGAAAAGCTTTCACAGAACAGAGGTACCCTCTGATGGGCTGTAAAATTAAACCATTTCAAGCATGTATGGCTATTTATCTTTCACAAGAAGCAGAGTGGTGTTTTAGGAAGTGCCTTTGGCTTATGCTTGCCACCAAGCAACAGTGATTTTGGTGCTGGGAAGATCAACTTTGCAAATAAAAACTGAAAACAAAGCACTGTTGAATTCCTGTGGTCCCCACAGCGCAAAACCACCACCTTCGTAAGTGATGTAAGCTCTGGGGCAGGCAGCTCTGGGAAAAAGGACACTCCAGTCCTGCCACAGCCCAGGCTCACTGACTTGCCTTCAATAAGGGGCCATGGAAGACTTCCACTGCCATGCAAATATAACATCCCCTGCAACTTAATAGCTGGAGGCTGATGCCAAGGATCTCATTGCTGCTGCCCTTCTTCATCCAACCCCTTCCCTCTCTGTGATGCAAGTTCATCTTGCATCCATTAATGGTTTTGGCTTTGCAGTTGGATTCTTCTGCAGTTGGATTTTGGAGAGGGTCCAGAGGAGAGCCACAAAGATGATCAGGGGACTGGAGCACCTCCCCTAAGAAGCCAGGCTGAGGGTGCTGGGCTTGTTCAGCCTGAAGAAAAGAAGGCTGTGGGGTGACTTCATTGCAGCCTTTCAGTACCTAAAGGGAGCCTACAAACAGGAGGGGAATCAACTCTTTGAAAGGGTAGATAACAGCAGGACAAGGGGAAATTGTTTTAAGTTGAGGGAGGGAAGATTTAGGTTGGATATCAGGGGGAAATTCTTTACAGAGAGAGTGGTGAGGTGCTGAACAGGCTGCCCAGAGAGATTGTGGATGCCCCATCCCTGGAGGTGTTCAAGGCCAGATTGGATGGGGCCCTGGGCAGCCTGGTCTGGTATTAAATGGGGAGGTTGGTGGCCCTGCATGCATCAGGGAAGTTGGATCCTTGAGGTCCCTTCCAACCCTGGCCATTCTGTGATTCTACTGCCTGTGTGCCATGTACAAACTATGTCTCTTAGAACTGTCTTCAAAAAAAAAAAAAAAACTTAAAATCTGATAGTTAAGCAACTGAGCTAAACAAAGCCAATAGAGGCAAAATTAGGGGGTTGCAACAGATATGGGTGTATTTTACTTTGGCAATGTAATCTGTAGTTAGCATTGACCTTTGGTGTTCCAGTATATAAATAAACCACAAAAAGAGCAACACTGCAGTACCATGAAAGTATAAGCATGTTCCCACGACGTGAACAACTGGAAGGTTCTGGACAGTAACTAACTGAAGGAGGAAAGCCTCCAAGGCTGTCTGTTTTAAAATGAAACAGAAGAGACCAGCTGTCTGACTTCTTTATTATTATGTTATTTATAGAACCATAGCACAGCACATGGTACGAAGAAGAACTGGAATCAGTAAAAGCTTTGACTATAATTTGCAATGAGTGAAGTTGAAGAAAAATATCTCATTCCCAAAGTCTTCAGAGAAAAAGGTCTGCAATTCCACTTAAGTCTGCAAATTGTGAGTTCATTATGTAACAATATTCAGCACTTAATGAATAGACTGCATAATTAATTGCAAGTCAGAACACAGATACGTGCTACAAATAAAACATCTGGGTTTGAATGCAACCCACAGAAGTGAGAAATACTCACCACCCAGAGCTCACTTCACAACACGCATGTTGTGGCCCTCAAGGAGAAGGCTTGGTTCATCACAATCACACTTGCATTTCATTGCATTGTTTCGCTGCTTTTGCCCAGCCATCAACCATCTGTTACAGCACAGCCACTGGAATCTCACACCTCTCACCACTGGCATGTGTAGGCTGAACAGTGTAAGAGATTTGAGATCACACAGCTAATAGTCACAAGGAAGTGATCTTGGACATCTGAAACTCAGATGTGCAAGATCAACTTCTCATTATTTCAAAGCTTATCATCTTATTCCTCCATCATGCCTACTACTGGTGAGGCAGCATTGCCAGCTCCAGTCATCCCCTTCCCTAAGGTTTTCTTTCTGAAGGACAGGAAAGAAATAAGTACGCCAGAGAGGCAAGAACAAGAAACCTTACCAAAAAGCACAGTTCTCATTAAACTGCAACACCTGGCAAGAAGCATCTGTACCTGACACCCCTTGGCTTTCTTTCCCTTAAGTGTATCAGTAACCTAAAACATTATTCAGATCATTTTTGCCCAGAGAGGTTGTGGATGCCCACCCCTAAAGGTGTTCAAGGCCAGGCTGGATGGGGTCCTGGGCAGCCTGGTCTAGTGTTAAATGTGGAGGTTGGTGGCCCTGCATGTGGCAGGGTGGAGTGGAGATTCATGATCCTTGAGGTCCCTTCCAACCCTGGCCATTCTCTGATTCCGTGATTATTTGAGTCTTGCTGGCTTAATTTTATTTTCTTATACTGGGCGAGGTCGCAGTCACTTTCCTGATGTCATTTGGGATGTTCTGGAAGACAGCTTGTCCCCACCCAAGCCATCTCATCTCTAGGCTGGCAGCTCAGTCTAGTCAGTCATTTGGAAACTATTTCATCTCTTCACTCATTTCTGTCGTCCCTCTGCAACTTCCCTACATACTGCAATAGATCACATACGTAAACTGGCTTTTCAGGACGAGTGCTGCAGTGGCTGAAGCTTCAGAGAGGCATCAGCCCAACCCCACAGACTTCCATGCATGTAACTATGACTCCTTGCAGCATGCCTGGCACTGCACATTAACCAGTGATTCAGCCCCTGAAACTTGCACCTGCTCGGCTTTGAATTAAAGAATTAAGAGCTCCAGATGCACTCGTGGTCTTTCATTGTGTTTAAAAGCCAGGAGGTATTGGTCAGAAAGCATTTACATGCCCCTAAAAATAGCTATGCACTGCAGGCTACATCAGTGCAAGAACTGAATTGACATATTTTATTTTGCAGCGCTGTTTAAGAGGCAGACTGGAAGCCAAACCTGTTCCAGAAAAAAAAAATGCATCTGTAGCTGATGTCTAAACAATTCAGAGTATACCATCAAGTTATGGTAATTGGCTTCTAGATGTTATTGAAGCTTTGGTAGAATGCTAAAGCATTTTTCTTCTCTATCTCTTGTAGTATTCCTCTCTGTTCATTATTGTAAGCCTAAACTCGATTGTCCTGACATTAATATATGTACTGTAAAACAAAATACATCAAGTGAACACAGAATTTGCACAGGCAAGCCTCTACTCTTCCACAGGATCAAATTAGTTGGAAGGAACTCCCAAGGACCATTAACTCCAACTCCTGGCTCCACACGAGGCCACCCAGACATCAAACCCTGTGTCTGAGAGCAGCATCCAAACACTCCTTGAACACCAGCAGCTTGGGATTTTGCCCACTGCCCAGAGCAGCCTCTTCCATGCCAACCACCCTCTATGAAGAACCTTCCCTTAAGGCCGAACCTAACACTCCCTAAAACAGCTCCAGGCCCTTTCCCTCAGGTCTTAAGCTTATTCCAACACACCAGCAGCAAATGATAGCTGTAAAGTCTATAAATTCTGCTGCATTTACGCTAGCAGAATCTAACTAGACCGCACTCTCTAATCCAAATCCTATTTTATCACAATGAACATACACAGTGAAAAACAAAGATATCCCTCAACTCAGAGGCTTCTGCGCAATCAATAACCTGGAGCATGAAGCTGCTATTCTTTCAGTTGAATTCATCAAAATCAAAACAGAATTGGTATTCATCCAAGAATGCCTGTTGGACTGAACCCCCAACTGCATCATGGTTTCCAGCAGTGACTCAATCAGCTGTTGTGGTTAATGTAACACTTGTGTGCCAAGCACTAACATCATCATGAACATCTGCACATGCTAGCATTTTCATTACCTTAAGCTCTAGAGTCTAGTGTGTTAGATGTAATGCTTAACCACAGCCAAGACAGACCTGGTCCAAAGATCATCAAATCAAACATCAGGTTGAGAAGTGGGAGAGCCAAGCACTATCACATCCACTTTCCAAAGTAGCATCTTCAATCTTTTTTTTTTTTTTTCCTTAAGAGGTCAGAATACGTCATAGAAATTTTTCCATTAGTGCTGTTGGTGCCATCTTCCCCAAGAAGAGATTTTTAAACTGAGGAAAAAAAGAAAAGCAACAAAACCCCCACAAAGCACTATTTGCTGGTTTAACTGCACTGAAAACAATCTTTTGTAAATCCTTCTGTTTAAATTAAATGGAATCACCCTCACGGCAGAAGCCCCAGGTGAGTCCTTTCCTTACCACACTGTAAAACAGTATTTTTATCACCATTTGCTATCGGTTACTAGCTTCTAGAAAAGTAAATTGTAGACCAATTGAAGTGCCCTGAAATTGAGTTACAGCTTAAAACATCCCCCCTCCTCTCCTCCCCTCCCCCCACACACACCCTCCAGTCAAAGATACCACCACAGGAGTGGCAGAAATCCTAACCTTCAGCTACTTCACATCAGCAGAGATGAGATCAGTACTTTATCTTCTTGATGGGAAACTAAAACGTAACAGTCGGAACTGCTCTGTAAATATATGACAAGATATTCTTAGAACAGTCTGCAGCAATGCAAAATAAGACTTTGCAGAGACAGAGCCTTCATGAGCAAGACCATAAACCAAACCATCTGCAGATAACCTTGCTGGCATTTCTTTCGCCTTGTTACACTGCAATTACTTGCTCTTTCAGCCCAGCTTCTCCTTGATCCTGAAGTGATGTTTAACCCACGTGTTACCAAGAGAATAGTGAGGTCATGAATTTAGCACTGCACTTGTGCTGCAGGACAGAGACCAAGTGAAAGGCAGCCCTAGGGAGAAAACTTCAATCTGAATGGAAAGAGCCTGGGTAAGTAGAAAACTCCCTACACCTATTCTTGAAATAGCTACAGGGAGCATTGCTGGATTACATCAGACACCGGAGCCTGTTTTGTACAAGGAGCTCTTCATAAATCCACAGTCCCTCTCCAACCCTACTCTCTCTTCAAAAGAAAAAGTTGCCTGCCCTGAATGAAGCCTTTTGCAAGTGTTTTACTAGGACTTTTCTAAGAAAGGAGGAAAGCAGACTGATGTTCTTTTCCTTTTCCTGTAAATATACCCTTGTATGGTTGAGGCAGCTGGATCCTAATAGGACTCTTAGTGCACACATGAGCACCCTGAAAACTTCTAATTCTTCCATAGCCATCCCCTTTAGACATGAGTAAGGGAGAAACTCAATTACATACCTGGACTGGGCATTAGACAAGATCCTAAGAGAAGATCCTTTAGGACTTTGCACAGAGCCAACTCTTTTCTACTGTGCTATTCCATTGATGTATTCAGTCTAAATCAGCTCACCCTTGTGATAAGTTATTATTTTCCAGATCTTCCTGAAGATCCCACCTGCTGATTTACGAGAACATGCAGTCTCTCACTAGATCTTCTGCCCCAATCAGAAGAACACCTTTGTTTTCCCCAAAATGCCTTTCATTTCAGCCCTAACAGAGCAAGTAAAAGCACTTGTTCATGACACAAGTCCCATGAGTCTCCCCAGGACAAGGGGAAATGGTTTTAAGTTGAGGGAGGGAAGATTTAGGTTGGATGACAGGGGGAAATTCTTTACAGAGAGAGTGGTGAGGTGCTGGAACAGGCTGCCCAGAGAGGTTGTGGATGCCCCGTCCTTGGAGGCCAGGTTGGATGGGGCCCTGGGCAGCCTGGTCTAGTATTAAAAGGGGAGGTTGGTGGCCCTGCCTGTAGCAGAGGGTTGGAGATTCATGATCCATGAGGTCCCTTCCAACCCTGGCCATTCTATGACTGTGAGTCAGAGCAGACATGCCAAGTAACCACAGACAGCGGTCTATCTTCTTCCATAGACACAACTTAAGTTCCTGATGCTGTTTTCTTGGAGTTTTCTGCTGTTTGTTTGCATTTCACCCCCTCCCTTTCCCAATAGGAGAGCATTTCCCTAGTCGGAGACTCTCAAAGCGATCAATTGAAGCGCCTCTTGTTTTGCACCAGAGCGCCAGACCCATTACGTGATCATCCATCGCATCTTCACTTGAACGAAGGCAAAATCCAAAGCAACTCTAAGAAAGTTTTCTGCGCGCTCTGCCCGCAAGCACAGACGCACAGACAGACAGACAGACCGACCGACCGACCCGCACTCACTCTCGGAGTCGCTGAGGCCGCTGCCGTCGCTGACGCTGGCGCTGCTCCGCCGCTTCATGCGCTCCAGGTGCTCCCCGTAGTGGAAGCGGCTCCGGCCGGCGGGGCAGGCGAAGTCCTCCAGCACCGCTTCGAACTCTCCCAGAGCCTCCGCCAAGCCGCCCGCCTCCTCCTGCAACGCCGCGGGACGCCGGCCGCCGGCTGAGGGGGAAAAGAAAGCGGAGGCTGAGCGAACCGCTGCGCCGTGAGACCAGAACCCTTCCTCCTCCCACTGGATCCCGCCGCCATCCCTCACTCCTACCTTGGCTCGCCGCACGCTGCGCTTGAGGCGGCTTCATGGCGGCCACCCCGCCACTGCCGGCCCCGCCGCCGCCGCCGCCGCCTCTTATAGCGCGCCCGGGTCGGGGGCTGAGGGGGGGGAGCGGGAGGCGGTGCTGCCCGCTGCGGCGGGGAAGGCGGGCGGTGCAGGTGCGCCTTGCTGGGGTATTGCGCCTCAGCCTGAGTGGGTTTCGCAGCCAGGAGCTGGAAGAGCTGCGTGGGAAGGAGCAGCGATTCCTCCTTGCTCGGCGATAAAGGTGCTTTGTGTTGCTGGAGCTTCAAGGATGAGCCCGGCACATCCTTTAATCACTCTACAAATACTGGGTGCTTGCTCTGAGGCCGGGGTTTGGAGAGCACTTGGGTACGTCCCCGAGTTCGCTGCTATCCCAAATAAAAAGATCACCTCTTTTCCCCTGATAGCCACCATCCAGAGGGCCCCGGGCAGGCTGGAGAGGTGGGCCCGTGTGAAGCCAATGAGTTTTAACAAGGCCAAGCACAGGGTGCTGTCCTCGGGTCAGGGCAATCCTAGATATGTGTGCAGACTGGGAGAAAAACTCATTGAGAAGAACCCTGCAGAGAAGGACGTGGGTGTTCTGGTGGATGAAAAGCTCGATGCAAGCCAACAGTGTGCATTTGCAGCCCAGAAAACCAACTGCATCAAAAAAAAAAGGGGTGGCAGCAGGGCCAGGGAGGTGGTTGTGCCTTTCTGCTCTGCTCTCGTGAGGCTCCATCCAGGTGTGGGGCTGCCAGCACAAGAAGACCCTCTCCACACTGTTGGAGAGGGTCCAGAGGAGGCCATGAGGATGAGCAGAGGGCTGGAGCACCTCTCCTATGAAAACAAGGTGAGAGCTGGGCTTGTTCAGCCTGCACAAAGGGAAAGCTCCGGGGATACCTCACCACAGCCTTCCAGTAATCAAAGGGAGATTATAAATGGGAGGAGGACTGACTTTTTACACAGACTTACAGTGATAAGACAAGCTGTCCAGAACAGTTATGGGTGCCCCATCTCTGGAAGCACTGAAAGCCAGGTTGGATGGGACCCTGGGAATCCTGAGCTCCTGGGTGGCAACCCTGATAATTGCAAGGGATTGCAATTGGATGGGCTTTAATACATCTCTTCCAACCCAAGACATTCTGATTTTCCAAAGAGGCAACGTCCTGTGTTTTATTGCTGTGTGATGCACTGTGAGCTTCACGTGTGGCTGTGGCACATCACTACACTTCAGCTCACTGCCCACACTTACCTGAATCTGCCCATGCTGTCCTGTGGTTGTTTCTTGGCTCGATCCATCACTGAGCTGTGAATACAGCCAAGGGGCAGCTGGATTAGAGCATCACTGTGATGACGTGAGCACAGGAGCAGGTGGAGAGCGAGGCACAGGGAGCTGCTAAACACATAGAGCCAGGGTACTCTACAGTGGAGGGGTTTCTTTAATCAGAGCTGAACAATATTAGTTTGTCCTGAAGTCAGGTTAACATGATGTTTATACGTGCCACAGCTGCCACTGGTCTTGTGCTGCCTCTCAGTCTTTTAAAATAAAAGCTGGCTGAGCAGCTAAAATATCTGTTCTGTAAAATGCCTGTTGGGCAAGATGCTGTCACATTTTGTTACAACCAGTGGTACTGAAAACAGACATCAGGTGCTATTCCATGCATATGCGTCAGGAGCTATGATTATGTTTGTGTGTTGATGAGGATATCTGGAGCTAAAATAGAGGTGTTGGGAACAGGGAGAGGGAAGGAAAATTATCTCTGAGACTTCTCGAATGTGAAGCTGTAACAACATTTTGAGACATATTGTCACTGCTCCTCAAAGACGTACAATGAGAAAAACAATGTTCCAGACAACAAATAATCTGTATTTAGCAGGTTTGTTCACCTTTCCTTACCAGCTGACATGGAAGCGCTTATTTATTTTTTCTGTGGATCAAAAGAAGTTCTCATGGTAATGTTCAATTCTTATTTATTCTGTGGTTTCCTCCTTTCTTGTGGTCTTCCTCTGTTTTCCTTTCTGCTAATAGAAGTGGTTACAAACAATCTTTTTTGAAGACCATAGTGAGCAAATGAGGTTAAAAAGCGGAGAAGAAGAGATAAGAATATGACGTCAAGAGCATGAGAAGGATGAAAGACAACAGGAACAATGGAGAACTGTAGGGCATGTGGCTAGGAAGAACTCATAGCCTCAGAATACAAGGACTTGGTCCCATAGCTGGCCTCAGTTCTCTCTTGCCCAAGAACCTACTTAGGCCACATCACAAAGAGTGAAGGCTGAGGCAATACAGCAAGGCTGGAGTTGTTCAACAGAATCTCTGCCACAGAACAGAGAACAGCTTCTCCTCCTTCTTCCTTTCCATATGCTAAATTCTCTGCATGCCATGTGTAATGGGTTTGTCTCACCTTATGCTGAGCCAGTTCAACACACTGGAAGAACGGAAGGCTAATCAAGAAAGAAATCGAGCAGCTTTCTATTGGATTGGGCTGAACTGTCTCAGGTGAGCCAGGTGAGCTCCAGAGCTGATAAAAGCAGAGAGCAGAGGGTTGCGGGCAGGGAACTGCTTCCCAGTAACAACATAAGAGCTTTTCCCTGGCCTTCTCCTTAATTGCTGCTTTACACACAGATTTTCTATTTTTGTAATCATTTCTAGGCATGCTGAAGAAACAGCTCCCTGAACTTCCTTTCTTTTCTGTTTTGTGCTTGGGGATTTTCTTTTCCTAAGAAATCCTTGGTTATGCTCCATAGGCAAGTGTCAAAGCATTTCTTCCACTAGATATTCATATCACCTACTGCAGCTCTTTCTGTCTCCTAAGCAACTGTGGATTCCACTGATTGCAGCAGATATACAGCTGGTGAATTTTAATTTTCTGCATAAGCACTTAGCTTATGCGTGTGGAATTAAAGGCTGTCTTTTATGCCTTTTTTGTTCTATGTTACAGTGCACGTGTATCCACAGGTCACTGTAAGTATCACTGAAGGATGCTCCAGCTGAGCCTGATGCATTTTTGCCATCGATGCCAAGAGGAGCAGCCAACATCTGGCAAAAGGGAAAAGTCCCTTCTAAGCACAGTGCCCTGAAATGCTGCAGACAGACACGTCTGCCTGCTCTTGTTTGTTGGTGGAAGCCTCCAACACAGCCTGTAATGTAAACTTCAGCTACTGAATCCCTCCCTTCTTCTAGGCAGCAGTCCAAGGTGTATTTAAAGTGAGCGTCTTCTTGACCATTCGACACAGTGTCTCCAGACCTTCCTCAGCTGGTGCTGCAATGTTGACAGTGGTTTCCTATTGCATTTTTGACCCGACAAACTTGCGAGCCACACAGCTATTTAAACCAATAAATCCGTTCTGTAAATATTCTTCACGGAAATACTTTTACAGCACCAACAGATACTCTGGCACTGCTGGGCTGCCACGCTTATAAGGTGCTAGTCTTCTCAGTGAAACACCAATACTGGACACAAAACCTTGTCTTGATGTGCAAGAAGGGAAATCTAGGACTCATTTACACAGACACGGATGCTTCTGCTGGAGTGATACGGTGGTTTTCTAACCCAGGGATACCTGCAGGTTCATAGATAACTTATGAAGCATTGGTGTAAAAAAAGGAAAGAAAAAATAAATTTACTGCAAGCAGGGCACGTGCAGCTCCATTGGAAACTGGAGCTGTAGAAGGGGGATGGGTTGCGTGTCAGAGGCGGTTGAAAACTTCTGGTCTAATCCATCACTTCCTTTCCCTACCTCAAAGATCAGGAGTACCCCAAGGTATTGATCCTGTTGAGTAAGTACCATGTGCTCACAATTAAAAGCAGATGTTTGGTGAAATTTCATCCTGTGTTCTCACTGGTATTCATCTCAGACAAAAGCTAAGGTGTCAGATCCCTGCCTGTAGAAGCAGTCTACAGCTCTTCACATATAACATCCGAGAATCTTCTAATAGATTGCAGCCTGTTAAAATAATAGTTATTTTAAAAAGTAGCATTGCTAGGTAGTTGAAGTAGATATTGCATTTAAAACCCGGGAAAGACTGAGAGAAATCCAATGTTGTCAAAATTACAGCCGAAGGAAAGTCAGGGAACCCAACATTTAGACAGCCATGAAGGAGAAAAAAATGAAAACTATCACAGGATGAAAAGACACAGCCAGACTGACAGCTGGGGAAACCTAAATCCTTGAGCCACAAAGCAGGAATAGCCCAAGCATCATAGGTACAAGTTGTCCCCCAGCTCTGAGCATCACAGCCCTGCGCTCAGTGACCCCAGCCAGTCATTAACCAACAGTCTTTATTAATACATCAATCTATTTTATCCTTCACGCTGCAACTGCGATTGAATGTTTGGGGAAATTGCTAAACTTGTTCTTTAATGAAGGCAGCTGCCTAATTAAAACTTGGTGGACATCACCCATGCATTTTACACAGGCTACCTAGCTGCCAACAGTGGCACAACCATAGCTAATGGTTGGGCTAAATACATGCCAATGACCTGCAGCTCCATCCATGACAACAGTGGGGAGCATGCATGACTCACAGCAGTATAAATAATCTGAGAAACCACAAAGAAAATCTTCTGCCAGAAGTTTCCTCTCCTTCCTCTCCTCCCAGCCTTTCCTGGCTTTCCTTAAACCTGAACCTGGACCACAAACCAGCACAGTTCCTTACGTTTTTCTCTCTTGCTCTGATTAACAGTGCTGCAAACTCATGGACCAGCTTACTGACACCCACAGCCACAACCAAAGCAAACACCTTATTGCTAACTTCTGCCAAAACCAGAACTTTCCTTCTGCAGCCCATTACTCTTATAAACTTCCTGCTTGTTTACCTCTTAAATGGGAATATAATATCATCGTTTTCCTCTGCCTTTTAGTAACTTGAGACAGCAGCTCTAGGAATTTTGAACGGATGTATTTAAATAAGTTATTTACTCTGAAATGTGCCTCTGGTGGTTTAGATGTAACCACAATTGTTCCAATTGGGTTAAAAGTCACTGAAACAGAATGGTGTAATAATCATCCGTATCAAAATCACCAGAAGGGACAGTTCAGTGTAAGCTTCTGTCCACAGCCAAAAGATATGCAAAATTGCTGAAGAATTTGGAATTTCTGGGTCGAGGGACT